TTCCTTCCTTCCTTCCTTCCTTCCTTCCTTCCTTCCTTCCTTCCTTCCTTCCTTCCTTCCTTCCTTCCTTCCTTCCTTCCTTCCTTCCTTCCTTCCTTCCTTCCTTCCTTCCTTCCTTCCTTCCTTCCTTCCTTCCTTCCTTCCTTCCTTCCTTCCTTCCTTCCTTCCTTCCTTCCTTCCTTCCTTCCTTCCTTCCTTCCTTCCTTCCTTCCTTCCTTCCTTCCTTCCTTCCTTCCTTCCTTCCTTCCTTCCTTCCTTCCTTCCTTCCTTCCTTCCTTCCTTCCTTCTCCTTTCTTTTCTTTCTTTTTGAGACAGGGTCTCCCTGTAGCTCCAGCTGTCCTGGAACTCACTGTATAGACTAGGCTGGTCTTGAGCTCACAGAGATCCGCCTGCCTCTGCCTCCCAAGTGCTGGGTTTAAAGGCATGCACCACTATGCCCAGCCATTTATTTTTCTATATGTGATAAATTCTTCTTTTTTTCATTAGCTTATTTAGTTTTTAAAATAATTTTTATTTTTATTATTGTGTGTGTGTATGCGTGTGTGTGTGTGTGTGTGTGTGTGTATTGTGTTTCTGTACTCTCAGATATTTAGTCAAGAGAATGAATGGTCTTAAGCATCCCCTGGTAACCCGTGTTAAAGGCTTGGTCTCTAGCCTGAGAGGTAGTAGAAATTCAAAGGACAACTTTGGAATTTTTCTCTCCTTCCACCTTTATGTGGATTTCAGGGATTGAACTCAGGTTGCTGGGCTTCTGAGAAAAGCACAGAGACATCTCATCAGCCATGTTTGTGAGGTTTTACTGAGACAGGATGCCACACTGTAGGCCAGGCTAGCCTGAAACTTAAGGTGAACTCTTTACTTCAGCCTCCTGAATGCTGGAATTACAGGCATGTCCCACCATGCCTAGCTCTAAGACTTCTTGTTAATATTGCTAATAGCCTTACATCTGTACCATTTGTATCTATTGTCTCTGTCAAATTGTTTTGCTCCTATTGAAATGTAACCTCCTGTCCTCTCTATTTTTTATGCTTTTCAATGCTTAATGACAAATTTTGGGTAATTATTTCAGATCATAAAACATGACTTGAGTGGTAAGTGTCTTAAGGTATAGTTGACTTTCCACCCATATTTTTCTGTCTTGAATTAGGTTTTTAATTTTGCATGCTATAAACAGGGATTCACTTTTGGTATCTGATTCTTTCTCCCTGATGTTTATAATAATGTTGATTTAAATAAAAAAGTACTTCTGATGATTTCTTAACCTAAACACAAGATAGACCTTGTTGAAGATAGTACATAACCTAGAAGCCATTTTTTTTCCAACAGCGTCTTGCTATAGTCCCAGTTGTTTGGAACTCACTATGTAGACCAGGCTGACCTCGAGCTCACAGAGATCTGCATGCCTCTGCCTCCCAAGTGCCAGGATCATAGGCATATGCCACATGCCCAGCAAAGCCATTCTTTTAAAGATATGACCCAGATCCCTCAAAATAAACATGGCTTAGTCTCAAGAATATTCTGTCTTTTCAATGACAGCATTGTTATTTCCTCTTTGAACTCCAGAAAGGGAGGGAAAGGCTTGCATCTGGCTCAGTGCAGATTTATTTGATGTTGTAGGCACTGGTGACCTTCAGGGATATACTTGTAGCCTTCTCCAGGGAGGAGTGGAAGCTGCTAGATGCTGATCAGCAGGTCATGTACAAAGACGTGATGTTGGAGAACTACAAGAACCTGGTTTCTCTGGGTAAGGTCATAGCAGCAGTGATTTTTGTATTTTTGTTTTTGAAACAGAGTCTTATGTAGCACAGGCTGGCCTTGAAACACCCTATGATGTAGCTGGTGCTGGCTTTAAATTCATGCTCTACCTGCCTCAACCTCCCATGTACTGGGATGACAGGCATATGCCATCATACTTAACTTGGTTTTATTTCTTCACTGAACAGAAAGTGTGGTACTGGGGCATTTATCAGAGTGTGGGCCTGGGATTCAGTGACTTGATTTCTTTGGGACATAGACCAGAGCTTTTGTACACTTGCCTTTGTGGAAAATTTGTTTCATTGAATTATATCCATATTTTATTTGCTTCCTCACATTGTCAGTTCTTAGCCCTAGTGCTGTGAAGGGATTGCAGATGGACTGGATGTGGGACTCTTCTATGTGTCTTCCCCAGAGCCCCTTCTGCTCTTATCTAGTCCTTTGTCTCCCACTACAAATAGGGCATCAGCTTCCTAAGCCAGATGTGATCCTCCAGTTGGAAAAAGGGGAAGAGCCCTGGATGGTGGAGAGAGGGATTCACCAAGAGACCTGTCCAGGTGAGGACCAGACAGGAGCTGTCTCAGCTGGCTTGCAAGGGATTAGAACCTCTGAAATGGGGTCCTTGTTTCTAAGAGAACTTAGGTCATCTACCTTACGCCTCCAAAGATCAGTGAAGAGTAAACAAAACCCACCTTTTTTTTTTCATTTCCCCTCTCCTTCCTTCTCCTGCCTGCTCCCAACCCTTGAGATTAAGGCCTATGTCAGCATGCCCATCTTAAAAACATCTTTTTGAATAGCATAGCAATAGTAAACAGAAATGGCTGCAGAAGTTTTCCAGAGAGCTTAGCAAGAAGGTGCTATAAATGCTATTTATTCACTTTTCTTTTTTCCATTTTTTATCTTATTTTATCTTAAAATTTTGATTTATTTCTTTTAATATTATGAGTGTTTTGTCTGCATGTATGTAAGTGCACCTGTCATGTGCACTGCCCTTAGAAACCAGAAGAGGGTTTGGGATTCCCTAGATTTAGAGTTAAGGATGATTGTGGGTACTGAGAACTGAACCCTGTTTTTCTTTAAGAGCAACCAGTGCCCATAACTACTGAGCTATCTCTTTAGCCTTGGTTTTGTTTTTAACTGTATTAATGGAATTTTTAAAGAAGATGTTGTGAACTTATGTGAAAATAAGTGTAATAAAAAGACTATTTATAAATCAACACATATGTTCAGAATTAGGAATAGTGGTTATGCTGAGTAACCCAAAGACCTTCCCCTAGGCTCCACCCCTTAAAGGTTCCTCCACCTCCCAATAGGGATCAAGACTTTAATACCTGGGTCCTTGAAGAACATTCAACATCCAAGCAACATCTTCTGTTCAAACTTGGTACACTTCAATTGCCCTTCTAGCCTACCTTGTGGCCCTTTTGAAAGGGTTGTTATGTTGGCCATCTGGGCCTTATTCTACTCCTTTCGTGACATGGACAGCAGGCATTACCCAAACAAGGATAAATATATGGTTTACAAATATTAAATTGGAGGCCAGGTATGTAGCTTTTTGGTAGAGTGTCTGAGGCCCTAGATTCAATCCTTAGTACTGAAAAAAAAAGAATATTAAATTGGCAGTAGTATAAAGTGTGTCAGAGGAAGTCTTGGTAATAGTAGACAGGTAAGAGACAGGATAGGATCTTATATTGTTAATATTCGGATTAGGAAAAGTATTTCCTTTTCTGCCTTTCCCCACCATTGAATTTCCTGACCCCATATGTTGTCCTAAGGCCTATGACTTCTCCTTTCTCATCTAATAATAATCAGGCACATGTTCTTCTTGCCACTAACTTTTCCTCCTTTTTACTGAAGTTGTAAAACATATTTGAATGCAATTTTACACATTTTACATTCTTTGGCTCCATAGACATCCCACCATTCTTACCTTAAAACTTTCTTTAGTTATGCAAAGCCTTTTCCTTTCTTTCAGATTCAGAGATGGCATTTGAAAGTAAATCACCAGTTTCCAGTAAGAGCATTTCTAAAGATAAATTTTCTGCTATTAATGTAGAAGGAATGTCAAAGAAAGATCTCTGGTATTTGTCATTAGAAGATATCTGGAAATGTAAAGACCAATTGGGCAAATATCAGGAAAACCAGGAGAAACATTTGAGGCAAGTAGCATTCACTCAGAAGAAAGTGATTACTCAAGAGAGGGTCTGTGAACGTGGTAGATACGAGGGAGGCTGTCTTCCTGCTCAGCTTGTTCTGAGAGATTATTTCCATCAGAGTTGCTCATATATTAAAGGTTTAAAACATGATTTGAAATTTAGTGGCCATCAGGAAAGCTGTTCAGGTGACAGTAATGAATATGATCAAACCTTCTGTCAAAACATTCACCTTATTCAGTTTCCAAGAACTCATACTGGAGATGTGCCTTACAAGTGCCCTGATAATGATAACTCTCTTACTTGTGATACCTCCCTTAGTATTTCAAAGGAAATATGTGGGAAAAAACCCTATGAGTGTAAGGAATGTGGAAAATTCTTCAGCTGGCGCTCTAATCTTACAAGGCACCAGCTTATTCACACTGGACAGAAGCCCTATGGATGTAAAGAATGTGGGAAATCATTCAGCCGAAGCTCCCACCTCATTGGACATCAAAAGACTCATACTGGTGAGGAGCCCTATGAATGCAAAGAGTGTGGAAAGTCCTTCAGTTGGTTCTCCCACCTTGTTACCCACCAGAGGACACACACAGGAGACAAACTGTACACTTGTAATCAGTGTGGAAAATCCTTTGTTCATAGCTCCAGGCTGATCAGACACCAGAGGACTCATACTGGAGAGAAGCCTTATGAATGTCCTGAATGTGGTAAATCTTTCAGACAGAGCACTCATCTCATTCTGCATCAGAGAACTCATGTCCAAGTGCGGCCCTATGAGTGTACCGAATGTGGAAAATCCTACAGCCAGAGGTCTCATCTTGTTGTGCACCATAGAATTCACACTGGACTGAAGCCTTTTGAGTGTAAAGATTGTGGAAAATGCTTCAGTCGAAGCTCTCATCTTTTTTCACATCAGAGAACCCACACTGGAGAGAAACCATATGAATGTCATGATTGTGGAAAGTCCTTTAGCCAGAGTTCTGCCCTTGCTGTGCACCAGAGAATTCATACTGGAGAGAAACCCTATGAATGTTGTCAGTGTGGGAAGGCCTTTATCCGGAAGAATGATCTCATTAAGCACCAGAGAGTTCACACTGGAGACGAAGCCTGTAAGTGTAGCCAGTGTGGTGTCATCTTCAGTCAGCACTCTCCATTTATGGTCCATCAGATAGCTCACACTGGGGAGCAGTTCTTCACATGTCACCAGTGTGGGGAAGGGCTGATAACCAGGAAAATCATACCAGAGAAAGCGCCTACTGATACAGTGAGTGGAGAGCATCTCTCAACATGAACAGAATGCCTGTAGAGTAGTTGTGCAAGTGGAATATAGTGGAAATTCTTTCAGTCTTATTATAACTCTATTGTACTCCATGGAATAGATCTTAGGTAGGAGCAAAACCCACAAATTCCATTTCAGTACACAAATCACACAAATCAGGTTTTCTTCTTTGTACAAATTTCTATTGAATTCATTGTCCTGAGAGCATACTTGACCAAGCCTTAAATGCTAGAATCTAAGAAGGGTTAAAGAATTTGAGAAATAATCCAACTTCCATATTTTCTTCAGAAATAAGTAAATGAGCATGCCACCGTAGGGAGAGTTGTTGCTGAGAATTTTGAAAAATGTTGAGGTTGGAGAGATAGCTCAGCAGTTAAGAGCACTGACTGCTCTTGCAGAGGACCTGAGTTTGGTTTCCATCACCCAATGGTGGCTAACAATCATCTGTAACTCCAGTTCCAAGTATCTGACACTGTCTTCTGGCCTCCATAGATGGTGCACAACAAGGGTGCACTTACATATATTGCCGGTGCCAGCCAGCCAAAATGGACAGTACCTGAAAGGGGGAGTGAGGATTGAAAGAAAGGAAAGGAGACAGAAAAGACGCTTCTTGGGAGGGCTCACAGTCAATACTGCAGCTGCCTCGATTTATTTCAGTCCTGTCTTTTTATACAGAAGAACTCAATTAGTTACAATTGCTGTATTTCCCCACCTGTATCTGAGGGTCAGGGAGTGGTCAGATCAAAGCCTTCTTGGATCCTTTTGTTTACCACTAATGCCTCGGTCAGGTATATTGTGAGGCTCTCCAGAAAACTCCTTCCTCCTGAATGGGAAGGTTAAGTACTGGTTTGCATGACACAAACTCAGTAAACGAGGCTGCTGCAGCTCAATGATTAGCAGCTCCCGACAATATATGCAGACAAAATACTCAAATATAAAATATAAAAAAGTTTTTTAAAATGTAGGGGCTGGAGATATGGCTCAGTGGTTAAGAGCACTGACTGCTCTTGCAGAGGACCTGAGTTCAATTCCCAGCATGGTGGCTACGAACCATCCTTAACTCCAGTTCCAGGGGAATCCGAAGCCCTCTTATGACCTCTGCAGCATTGCACAACATGGGTGCACTCACATACATGCAGGTAATACACTCATACATATAAAATAATAAATAAAATATTTTAAATTAAAAATGTTAGTAGTTATTGTTTCAAGAAATTGGAAGTACTATTTCAGCAAGTTTGTATGCCATTGTTTACTTGATTGTGCTTGTCTTCTGGAACACTTAATAGAGTTTAGTAGTAAGAAGAATGTCTATGTTGTAAAACAAACATATTTATACTTATGACCCATTTAAAATATACTTGAATGTGGGCAACAATTGAAAAGAAAGAATAGAAAGTAGCTAAGTGTACAAGTTGATTTGTTACATAAGATTATGAGTGTGTTTTGTTTGCTTTGTTTTGTGTGATACTGGAGATTGAACCCAGGGCCCTGGGTATACTAGGCAAGCTACCTACCACTGAGCTACATACCCAGTGTGAGTTTTATAGTCTGTTCTTTCATTGAAATAGCTAAGACCTAAAAATTCAAAATGCTATCTGATCTTTAGTGTATCATCATGGAAGTATGAGGAGCACCTGCTTGCAGCCTAGCCTACCAATTTTATGAGGCCATGATTAGAGTTCTACTCAAGACATGTGGTAAAGGCTCCTGAGAATTCAGACACAGTACCTCTGTGGATATAGAGGCCTAGGTGAATGTTTGACATTGGATACAGCAGGTAGAATCTTGTGATTGAGAGCAGGAGCCCAAAAATGTTGAGATCAGATGTGCTCTAAGGTAAATACAGCTCCTCCTAGGCAAACCTTCTCAGGGAAGTCCTTTATAAAGAAAATGCAATGGTCAAGAGTAGGGACTTGTCTTAGGTATGGTGCCTGGCTTCTCTGTGCCTAATTTATAGATTACCTCCTCTGTACATTAGAGGTTATGTAAATCTTTAATTGAATGATTACGGTACATAGTAAATGAGTAAACACATATCTTAGAATACATTTAGCAAACTTTGTGAGAGGGAGGTGTAGGTTTTTAAAAAATATTTTATTTTAATTTTATGTGTGAGTGTATTGCCTGCATGTATGTAAGTACACCATGTCATGCTGTGACCGCAGAGGTCAGAAGAGGGCATTGAATTCCCTGGAACTGGAGTTACAGATGGTTGTTAGCCACTATGTGGGTGCTAGAAATCAAACCTGGGTTCTCTGCAAGAATAGGCAAGTGCTCTTAACTGCTGAGCCATCTCTTTAGCCCCAGAAGTATGGCTTTTGAGTCTTGATCTTCCTGGCCTGGAACCTGTGGCCTTCCTTCATTAGCCTCCTAAATGCTGAGATTACAGGTGTTTACCACCATGCCTGGCTTCAAAGTTTAGGAAGATGATTTGTTTCAATTTTCTGTTTTATTTTATATCTGAATCGTGTGTTTGTAGCTTAAAAGTTGACAAAATAACGTGGAGTCCTTTGCATCCATCCAGGCAAAATAAAATAAGTTGAGAGCTTATGAAGGAAGAATCCTTAATGTATGTTACCTGGTAGTAACTGTCACAAAAGACTGTCAGATCTACAAGCTTGTGGAATAGCCAGTACTAAATAAAATCATTGCTGGCTCAGTGTGTAAAGGAGATCACTGCCCAGTCTCATGACTCAAGTTCAGTCCTTTGAACCCACACAGTGGAAGGAAAGAACAAATTCTTGCCATTTGTCTTCTGACTTCCACATGCACAATTGTGGCACATACATGCCTCCACCCAATAAAACTAAATAAGTGAAAATGTAAAAAAGAAATTATAGAATATGCAGGAATATACCATGATTAGGGATGGGAAACTCAGTATTATTAATATGGCAGATCTGGCCAAAATAACTTAGATTCAGAGGTATTTGTGTTTAAATTACCAGACTAATCTAAAATTTATCTACAAGTGCAAAGGTCCTAGAATAACCAAAGCACATTTCTAAAAACAAAATTGAAGTGCTCATACTATTTAATTTCAAAATTTACTATAGAACCATACTAATTATTCTGATAAGGTGCTTGGTGTGCTGGCACATGCTTGAAATTCTAGCCCTCAGGAGGCAGAAGCTGCAAGATTTGAGTTCCAGGCCAGTCTAGGCTATGTAGTGTGACCTGTCTCACACTATACTAATAAGGATTGTATTATTGGCATGAACATAAGATCAATAAAACAGTGTCTTGAAATTCATCTATACATACGTTTTTAAACTGGAAAAAGTTCGCAAATGTGGGAAATAGTTTTTTAATGAATACTGTTGAAACAACTGGATCTCTGAGGAGGGAGGGAAAGATGCAGGGAGAAAAGCTTTCTTTGCCTCATATTGCATAAAAAATAAAACTCAAAATGCACCACAGATCAAAACGCCAAAGTTAAAGTAGGGGCCAGGTGTAGTGGTATACGCCTTTAAGCACTTGAGAGGCAGAGGCAAACTTTGTGTGTTCAAGGCCAGCCTGGTCTTCACAGTGAGACCCTGTCTCAAACAAAAAACAAAACACTGCCCCAAAAAGTATCTAGGGGAAAATATTTATGGTGCTGTTGTAGGCAAAGGTTCCTCATAGCACTAGGAACACAAATCTTTTATATAAAAGAACACTGATAAGTTTGATGCCATTTGTAGAGTGCTTGCCTACAATGACAGGGACAGGGTTCAATCAACAGCGCCACAAAAAAGTTAAACTTCTCTTAAAAATGTCATTAATATACAAAAGAAGTCAAGAATTGATGTGGATTTTTATAATACACTTGAGAGAGACTTGTGTCTAAAATATAAAGAGCTCTTATAATAGCTAACCAATAAAGTGGAAAAATCCAGGTGTGGTGGTACATGCTTGTAACTCCCAGTACTGGAGAGACAGAGGCAGGAAGATAGCCTCAAATTTTAGGTTATCTTGATGGACATAATGAGTTCCAAGCTAGCCAGGGCTACATAGTAAGACCTTGTCTCAAAACAAAACTGGTAAATTTTTAACAGCTTCTTCATAAAGGAATACACATGAATGGCCTGTAAGCATATGAAAGATATACAACATCACAAGTAGGGAGGTAAATGCAGTTCACATTGAAGAGCTTAGCTAAGAACAAAAGATACAATAAGTGTTATAACTGGAGGAATTAGAACACAGATATTGTTGGGGTTATAAAGGAGTTTAACCATTTTGGAAAATAAGTAAGCCCTCAAAATGTTAAACATAATTATATGGCCTATCAGTTCCATTGTTAGGTATTTCATTGAAACTATTGCATGCAGAAATGTGTATACCAGTGTTCAGTGCTATTCATTATAACTTAAAAGACAAAAGGTGAATAAATAATATATATGTAAGTTAATAGATAATAATAAGTGTGTGAATGACTAAGCAAATTTTGTTACGTAGAACAATACTAATTGTCAATTGTTCTAGTTTGCTTTTTGTTGCTGTGATAAACACCACAACCAAAAGCAAATTAGGAGAGGAAAGGGTTTTTTCATCTTACACTTTGAGGTCACAACCCATCATTGAGTGAAGTCAGGGCAGGAACTGAAGAGAAACCATTAGGGAACCTTGCGTACTGGCTCATTTTCCTGCTTTTGCTCGGCTAGCTTTCTTATACAGCCCAGGCTAGCTTTCTTATACAGCCCAGACCCACGTGCCTTGGGATGTTGTTGCCCTCAGTGGGATGGGCCCTACCACATTGAACATCAAGACAGTCTCTCACAGATACGGCTACAGGCCATTCTAATTGAGGAAATTCTTTAATTGAGGTTCCCTCTTCCCAGGTAACTCTAGGTTGTATTAACAATAAAAATGAATCAGGACAACAGTAAACTGTAATGAACTAATGACAGGACTAGCAGGATTGGTAAAAATAAAAATTCTAAGAAGTCTGGCACTAGAGGTATAGTGGCTGCATAGCATGAACAATACCTTAGGTTCAAGTCCCCAGCACAAATAAGTAAAAGAAATTAAAAGTTGTGATTGTATTTTATAAAACCAGACGCAAAAGTATATGTGCTGTGTGACTCAATTTAAAAATTCTAGAACATATCTACAATGACAAAGCAAATCAGCAATTTCTGGGACTGGGCTGGGAGGGAGAGTGCCAGCCACCCACCAGGAAACACTGGGAGTGATCTGTGCCTTGGCTGTGTGGCTCCCTGATGGATCATTCTCACATTCATTGAACCATACAGTTTAAAAGTTATAAATTTTAAAAGACATTTTTGTATGTGTGTGTTTGTGTTTGTGTGAATGCGTATGCATGTGCCAGAGTGCATGTGTGGCGGTCCAGAGGACCACTTGACAACTTGTATGAGTCAGTTCTGTTTAACCATGTAGGTCCTAAGGACTGAAATTGGTCATCAGGCTTGGCAGCAAATATCTACCTG